TTTCCTAATTTTTTATGGTTGCGAGATCGGTCAAATGTACTAAACTCTTACAGAGATTAATTACTGAAAATAACAGATTAAATATAAAGTTTTTTCTTAAGAAATGTTTGATAACTATTTGGACATTATAAAGATTTCGCATGTGAAATTTCGAAATTTTCTGATTCATAAAAGTATTTTTAAAACCTAAAATAAAAAGTACTTTGCATGATAGATAGGCAAGATGTGAAAAGAAAAAAAGGCATGAGAGAAACATTGCTTTACAAAGCTTAAGACTTAATAAAAAAATTAGATATTTTGCGTATGAAACCATTGTAATGTTTACTGATAAACTTCCAAATTTCATTAACATTTGCTTACTAATTTAAAGTTATAGCATGAAAACTGTAACAAGCACAAAATGGTTACGAGGTCGGTCCCAAGGACTGAACCCGGGTTGAAAGAGTTAATCAAAAATAAACCCTGCAGTAATCCTTGAATAGTCAGAGAAACAAATCTTTGTCTGTGTTATAGAAGTTACATCATATTTTGTTTCATTGGAAACTATTAGAAACATTACATTTTTTACTGGGATTTCTCTGGTGATTTCTATCTTAAAACAATTTAGAGTATTTTAGTGCATGAACTGTTCTTTAGCTAGTATCAGTGTGGGAAGTTTCAAGAAGTGTTTTTTTTTACATGTGATATTTTGTGTTGATATTTAAAATATTTATATTTTTAAAATTAACTCCTTAAACCCAAGCAGATGCTGCCAGTGTCTGGCCAAAAATTCTGAATTACCCATCAGATGGTGATGGCATCCAATAATATTTATGTCTCTTTGACTGAAAACTAATCCAAACCATGTTATCATCCACAAGATTAAGAGAATTTAAATTTTATAAGGTATAGTGATAATTATTAGGAAATCATGAAAATGATTCTTGCAGAAAACATGTTTATTTCTTCACAGGAAACCCTTTTCAAAGCATCCCAATTCCAGAATTCAGATAAAAGCTATAAATTATCAGTCATAAAATGTAAGAAAGAGATATGTAGATAGTTAAAAATAGTAAATAGTTAACTTATCTCTTTGCAGTCTGTGTGATAGCCAGTTATGGGAAATTAGATGTTAAATACCAAGTTTTAGAGATGGTTTCACATACTTGATAATAATAGAGGGAGAGAATATTCTTAAAACATGCCCTAAGCTTTGAATTTTATGAGATGTAGGTGTATTGCAGACATTAAGAAATGATAGATTAAAGTTAGTGAAATTAAAACGTATTCTGTAATTTGCATATAGAGATATCAGTATTCAGCTGTATTTCTCCAAATTATGAAACAAAAATTCATGTATATGAAATATATACAAGTAATAAATTTGCTATCCCTCATACATAGGAATATTAAAATACTTCTTTAGTGTAAACTGCCTTTGACTAGAATTTACAACATACTTAGAACTATATGTTTAATTATCCATACTTCCTGTTAGGTTTCAGTAAGGATGAATGTTGAAACTCAGTTTTAAAAGTGAGTTGTGTGTGTTAAATGTAAAGTATATAATGTTTTTAACATCTATTTTCATGGATATTTATATTGAAACAGAGTTACATGTGTGGAGATAGCTGAAGACTCTAGTCTTTTGGCAGCTGGATTTGTTGATGCAGCTGTTCGTGTCTGGTCCATAACTCCCAACTCTCTGAAGGCCATGAAACCAGCTTCAGAACTTGAACAGACAGACAAAGAAGCAGGTAAAAAATAAATGGCCTAAATAAGAAATTTCCATGCTTAAATTTTATATTTAAGTTCCTGTTTTCATTAATTGAAACTTGTACAGGGTCTCACTTTTCCCAAAGCAGATAATTGAAGAATAAGGAATAAGTTGTTTTTTTAACATTTTGTTTACTTCTTTTTCAGTCAATCAGGTTTTAAAAGATTGAATAACGTATTCACTTAATTACACTTTTTTTCTCAAAACTATGAAATCTTTATTGTAAAAGAGGACGAATGTTCATATGCACCTGTGACGTGAAACTATAGGTGACTTTATATTGCTAGAACTTATCAAAAATTTACTCCTCCTAATTGCATTTTTAAAGATGCATATTACCAGATTTAAAAGAGTATTGTGATATAAATCCCTGGTGCCCCGTTTTTGTTGTCAGTAGTTTATAATAATGTTTCTTTAAATCACAAAATTTTCTCTCAACAATAAGTCTGCTAACTTATAATGCTAAAAATTGAGTTTTGATACCCATGGTTGGCACAGCCCAGATAGTCCATTGTGTAGCTTTGCTACTTAATTACAAACAGTTTCCTGTATAGATCATTTTCTAATTTTATTTCATTCTAAAAAACATTTATGACAACCATTAAAATTTTAAGACAGTTTTTATTTTTGTCATGGCTAAAAAGAATTATAAACGAATGTATATTTTGCTTTCATTCTGTGGCAAAGAAAGCTGTATTGTTCACAAGATGCTTTTTGACTTCTTTTTTGTTGAATGATTTGAAAACTATGCATCACTTTTTACATAATGTTTCTTATTTTGTCAACTACTGTAGCTTGTGTGGGAATGATAAATGACAGCTCATATTGAATAGTTCTGTACACTTAACTGTAATATAACAAAAATAGTTCTCAGGAATGTTAATAACAATGACTTACAAACTCTATTATTAGTTTTATTTAGTGTCTTAATTTCCTTCTGTTTAGGATAATTTCAAAAATTAACCTTCACATCAGTTGCGCTAACTAGTATTATTATTGCTATATTTAACTCTATGTTATCATTAGATGACGTGTTGTACAGGATGATGGATGAATCCAATGCAACAAACATGAGATTGCTCCTAGGACACAATGGTCCTGTATACTCTACCAGTTTCAGCCCTGATAGGAATCTTCTCCTTTCATGCTCTGAGGATGGTACAAGTAGGTATTCAACTTTTCTTTGTCACGGAGTGATTTTTTTCATAGTTACACATCTGGTTACAAGTGTCAAAAATATCATCAGTATAATTATGTGGAGACAATAATGTCAATTAATAAAATGTAGTTGAACCCTCTCACAACATATAAGTCAAAGTGTGCTTCATTAACCTTTTACAGAGTTACATTCAAAAGTTAATTAAACTACTTTATTATCAATGTACATGAATAAACTTAGCATCAAAACGTAGTTAATAAATCAAGTTTTAGTATTGATAAGTTTTATGTTTTTAAGTTTATAATTAAATATTTTAAAAAATCTTCAATCTCACTTTGTGTGAGAATTGTGTCATTTTTTTTCCATATCTTCCCCCTTCTCTTTTTATATTTACCACCTCTCTCTAAAAGTGCAGAATTTTAAGGCAAAGTATAATTTTTATAGCCTTCAATCTTATTTGTTTACAGAATCATAAGCTATAAGATCAGACCCATTTGGCATTCCCACCTGTCACATCCTCTCTTTCACAAACTGCCAATAATTCTCTTTGACGTTTTATATACATATTTATATCATTTATAACAAATAGAATAGCAAAGCTTTAATCTGTCCAATGACATGTAATATTTCAATGGTTTCAGTACAGAGTACTGTCATTTTTGTCTTCAGTTCAGTTTTAAAGTTTATCTCCTGATGTTCAGATTGAGCAGTTAAGAGAATTAATTTAAACCTTTCTTGTCTTAGTTAGAAAACCAGCTAATTATAATAATTATAGGACACTGTTTGCTCTGTGCATATTGTTATTCTGTGTTATTTAAGTAGATAAAAATTATTTAGTGTACTAGTAACATCATTATAAACAAAGTAGGCTTAAATTTTATTGGCAACTGACAGCAAAACAACAACAAGAGATTAAATGTAAGTACTATATTTCTTGATTTTCATGCGTATTTTTTACTTTATTGTTATAAAAGTAACTAAAATTTAAAAATTAGAAACTTATTGTCTTAGATAAGGTTAGATTAGATAAGATAATAAAAGAAAAATAGAAATTCTTCATGGGGTATACTCGTGAACAGCTTCTGTTATATCATTTAATACAGTAAGGTGTGCTGTGCATTTGCTGAGTGACTTACAACTTGTTTTGTGGGATTATTAATTAGACACGATTCAAAGGATGATAAAACAATAAAATTAAGTAGAAACAGATGTAGACTTTAAGCTATTTAGGATAAATAGTTTTAGTTTTATGTTACAATTTGTAATCATTCTAGAAACTAAAAACTTGCACCTTGCATTCTTTTGTTATTATGGAATAAGAAAACTTTGCATTGGTAAGTTCTGTAAAGTAACCTTTCCAGGTCAATTATAGGCACCATCTGCACTTGTAAATTAGTATCACCTTAACTTAATTGCAGCAAAAGAGTCAGGGCTAGTAACCTATTTAGTTACAGGCCACAGGAATGGCCATGAGCAAAGCAGTTTGATGGGAAAGTTTTTACTATAGATTGTAAAATATCCTTCATAAACATTGGTCACTAGTATGTGAGAGCAACCCTCCTTAGTTCTTGGTTAGTGGTATATATATATATATATATATATGAACAACCTTCCATATACATTAGTCAGTAGCATATATGAACAACTTTCCGTAGACAATGGTCAGCAGCATATGTGAATAACCATCTATAGACATTGATCAATAGCATGTATGAACAACACTCCACAGAAATTGGTTACAAGCATAAATGTTAAACAAGATTTTTTTTGTTTTGGATGTCAAATATGAACATGAAGGAACCATTACAGTGTTCTAGATGCTTAAGAACAATGGATGCAGGTTGGTAATTGTATTCTACAGCTGTCAGATGACTACAAAACATTTTTTAGTTTTGTGTATTCTAGACATGCAAGGTATAGTGAGGCAATTTCTATTGAACATAAAATGTCATCTTAAATTAAGATTGGTTTATGAATTGCAAATACAAGATGAAAATTAAGTAACTTATTGTGTCTTGTATTAGGATATTCCTGTATTAATAACTGTTAGTGATAGATTTGAAGTTAGGTCAAAATTAAGTTAGTCATGTGTATTTCATATTAAACTATAATTGCTAAAATAATTCAAATTCGTAAGTAATTGTCTGAATTTGAAATCTGAAATAAGGTTTGGAAGATATTGCATTCCATTTATATAGTGTGGGCTTTTCACATATGTATAATGTATTTTAGAGCGAGCATAACATTGAATGAATACTTTGATAGGTAATATGTTGTTAGCTAAAAATAGAATAAGTATCAGTAGGTAATTTATTATGTTCTTGAGTATTTTGGTAGGTAATATGTTGTAACCTTAAAATAGAATGAGTATCAGTAGGTAATTTATTATGTTTTGAGTATTTTGGTAGGTAATATGTTGTAACCTTAAAATAGAATTAGTAGGTAATTTATTATGTTTTGGGTAGTTGAAAGGGAGCTAAATTTGCGTTAAAATTAGTCAAGTAGTGTGTGCCATATATATATGATGTGGCTATTCTATAAACTCATTTATTACATTGAAAAGTTGAAATTGTGAAATTCAATGTAGAATGAATACTTTTATGTGAATTACTGTGTTATAAATATGGAAGGATGGCATAAGTCAGTCAGTTATCACAGGGGAAAGACCAAATCTGAAATAGTTAACTTTCAGTCTTTTGACTGTAAAATTTGAGTGAAAAATAATTGTATCTTCTCTGCATATAGAATTTAGTCTTTGATGTATTAATTGTACTTCAATTGATTTTTATATTGAGTAAAAGCTAAAATGGATAAGCTTTAAACAAGTGTTTGACATTCCGTAAATGTTGAACGCCTGTTTTAATTACTGATTTGTATCCATTTTAACTGCTTCAGAATATTTTGATTTTAGATATATATTTGTTTATGTATTTGAATTTTTTTGTTTTATTAGGAGCAACAACCTCTTTCAGACAGGTGGTTACTGGTAACCTAATAGATATAGGATACTGTGTGCTTGAGCAGTTGTGTGTATTACTAAAGTTATTTTTCTGTTGTAATTTATTTCACACGTGAGACTTGCAGATAGAGGTTAAATCTGATAGGTGGTGTATCCCCATCACTGTGGGGTATCTTATTTCTCCAAATACTTCTGTTAGTAGGGTACATTATAACTTTCACCATATTGTAGATTATGTACTAACTTTATTTGTGTATCCTTTACATGAAATGGTTTTTGCTTTTAACATCTATTTACTAATTTGTTAAAGGTATCCTTCAAGACAAGGTGATGTAGTCATGGTCTCTTTCTTTTTACAGTTCGATTGTGGAGTCTACTAACATGGACCAACGTTGTTTGTTATAAAGGTCATTGTTTTCCTGTGTGGGATGTTCAGTTCAGGTAAGATCAAGTAATTTAAAGTTTTGTTGTTGTTGTTTTTTTCAATATGTGTCAAACATTATTCTGTTTTTGTTGTTTTTTAATTTAATTTTTGAGTTCTATGCTGTGATTTGAATTAAATTTTTCTTGAACCAGATCATAGTATGAATCTCATGGCTTGGAAAGTATTTTGGATTTATTATAAACAATGTGACCATTGGACATAATTTTCTATTTGGGTAAAACATTACTTTTATCAGCATTGGAGGTTTTGGAATTTACTAATTCCATCATCAAAATAAGTATTTCAAACAACAAGTTAATTGTCATATTTTGAGTCCTTATACATTATCACTTCTTAGCAAAAGATAGAGAATGCAGTTTGAACTGTAACAATATGATGGAATTTTACAGAATATGCAGAATAGCATGTTGTTAAAACATATTATTGAGGAGAACAATAACAGAACTGAAAGGGTTTCTACACTAAAATTAGGAGACAGGTTTTTTTAAAAGGTTTTTTTTTCTTATAAACAAATATTTCAATGAAAATACAACTATAAATAAAAATGTTTGTGTTTTATAATATTCTATTATCTGTAACAAACTAAGTTGAATATAAAAAGAAGCAATAGGTAACTTGATAAAAAGACAGCAATTTGATAAAAACATAGTAATGGTTCTGTAGTATAGGTTAAGGGATTTAGTTTGAAGCAACTGACTGTTATTTAAAGTTATTCTTTTATGAGGAATATTCTTTAATTAGCATTTCAAATTCAGACTGATCTGTTAAGGCTTTAAAGCTGTAATCAGAGAAAGGTTATTTGAGGTTATTACAATGTGTTTAGAATGGATTGTTAGAAAGAAGAGCATCATCAACAAACTATTTGTAAAACAGGGGTTAATATCCTTAAATAAGTTGTTCATTCATGTGTGTTCATGGTAACAAAGTAAAGTGTTAGTATATATATATATATATATATATATATATACACACACACACACATACACACATCAATACAATTTACAAATATGTTCTTAAACTTATTTTTCTTA